TTCAGCGGGGCCTCCTCATGGTTTCACCGGGGTCTTTGCTTTATTGCTCCTGCTAGAAGCTGGGCCCTGAGGGATATGATAAAATTGAAATATTAAAGTGTTCTGTAGTAAAGGTTTAGGTAGTGAAACTCGGTAATTTTTATATAAATCACCATAATTATTCCAACTACAGGACAACGTCGTTCCTCACCTATAACGTATAGATATATATATATAGATAAAGGTTCAAGATGATACGTTCTCTCTTCAATTGTCAAATAAAGAACGACAGGACGACCGCTCGTGATACATTTTTTTCCAGCAGGTGCTTTTTTAGTCTCAATACCATGTAATCATTGGGGAAAATGAAAAGAAAATGTTTTGTACATCATACAATGCAAGTAAACAAAATGTAACCCATCACTTCTTTTTATTCCTAGCGATATCAGCGGGAATCGGTTTGCTGAAGCAGTTATTTGGTGTTATGGTCATATATTTTGAGCACTTAAGTCCTTTCTAGGTTATTTTCTCGGATAATGTATCGTCTCGGTGCAGCGGAATATATTTCTTCATTCTGCGATGCATATTCTATCTATAAGTATCAAAACTAAATACATAATATGCAAGAAATCATTTTGCAAATTAAATTTGAAAATTCATCTCTCTGTGCGTAACTGGTCAACTCGTACTCAAGACAATTCGTACCCAAATCAAGTCGTACCCAAGACAACTTGTGCCCGAGTATATGTTTTGTTTTGAATCAAGTGTTGGTCTGGGAATGTGTATAGATATACATATTATAATTGTTACATACAGTTCAAAATAGTTTGAAGTATGTAGAAGAGTATTTGGAAGAAATCGATTGAATTTTGTGACCACACATTCAGATTTTCGAGGGAAGAGATTTATGTTTATTCCACATATTTATAATCACTGTTCACAATAGCGGTATTTTGTATGTTTATGAGTGTTTGGAACAAGTTTCAGATCTAATTTATTTTGAAATATGGTATTATCAAAAATATAAAGATTTTCAAAACGTGCGCCTAGTTTCTTATTAAACTGATAATCTATTTAGGATTTCATATTATCAGATTAAAGAATGATAATTAAGCAATTAAAGATACCCTAAATAATTTGAATATCAAATATTATTTTGGTACGTATTATTCATACATGATATGATACACTTTGCATGCATGTGCTAAAATATAATCCAATTAAGTTTCAAATGGAAAAGAAATTAACAGATAAAAGTTCCTTTTGATTCATTTGTTGAAAAGTTACTGTTGTAATTATATTTATTTATATATATATTTTGCAACAAAAGTTGAGAAAAAGCCCTTCAACGCACTTCTTTCATTTAAAAAAAGGTAATTAAAGTTTAAACAAAATGTTTTGCTTAATCCATTGAGAAAAAATGTCTTCTTAAGTCAGAAAAAATATTGAGGCATATTTGATTCACATTATAACATAAAACATTTTGACGCAGACTCAATTGTTTTCTTATATGCACCCATAATACTGAAAATAAACTTGGGTACGAGTTGTCTTGGGTACGAGTTGTCTTGTGTACGAGTTGACTAGGAGGCTCTATGTGCCTCATAGATAAAGTGGATTAAAACGAAAACAAAATGAAACGAAACCATTTTTAATCAAACGTTATGATCTCATGTATCTTTATTGACACTACATATCGCCGAGTGTTTATTACACAAACGCGTCAATGTATTACTTTATCTTTTGTCATGAATCAATATTGTCATTTTAACAACTTTTAAATGATGTGTTTACATCAACTGTGATCAATAAACATCTAATTTAAATCACGCCAAGTTCCCCTAAATTATAATCCTAACCTTAAAAATATATGGGGACCATGCTTACATCAGGCAGGACCTAAATATTTTTATGGTTATGCCTGTAGGTCATGTGTATTTTGTCATGCTTAACCCCGCTTAACCCATGCCGCAATTTGATCTGTATAGAGATCATTGATTGGAAAATGTTATCCAATTGACTAGTAATAATTGTATTCCAAGAAAAACTTAACTTTGAGTTTATCCTTTTAATTGCAGTTAGTGGTGTTGTCTTCGTAGTTCAGTATATCATAAGGTTATAATGGAGGAGGCCGACGACATTTGGAATCTTTTCGCTGCTAAAACTAACAATGAAATTTCTTACCTCAACATTTTGAATATTTTTGTTCTTGAGATTTACATAAACACCCCAATTTTGACATATCAAAAACGAAACGAAAATATTTATTTTGAAGGTTACATTTAATGTTTCATAATTGATTGTAACATGACCAAAACACTTATGGATTATTTTGATAAGTACATGTACGTCATACAATATAATAGAGTAGAGATATTTCTTCGAATAACCACTCCCAAGCGCGTAGCTACGTTGAGGCAAATGAGGCAGCTGCCTCGTCGCTTTTTTCAGCCTTTGAAAAATAATGTTCGGATATAAAACTATTAAAATGAGTATAGTATCTTTTTCTTGAAAACATACCATTAAAATAACAGCTTGTGTTCTGTTGATTTTATCTAAATATAATTTCATGTACCCTTTATATAGAACTTAAAATAGCCAACTCTCAAGACACTTGCGTGCGATTTTATACCGTTCGCATATCGCATCAAATTGTTAGCCTTCGTTTTTTTAACCAAATTATAACGGCGCCATGTTCAGATTTTTGATTGATATTATGATATAAGACTCACTGTGGCAAGTAGATCAGGTATACCTTAATATTAATGGTATTTCTTTTTTAATATCGCCCAGATATAACGACCTAGGAAGGTCTATCAACACTAACCTACTCAAGGAAATATCATTATTCGAAATTCAATTTTACCCTGGTAAAAAATCATTTTTATAACTTCCAGCATAAAGTGTAAAACTTAAAAGTAATCAATGTGCACTGCGCTGAAACGCCGATCTTTGAAATTCATTTTTTTATTATTTTTTTATTTTTCTAATGAAAGTATAATATTTCTCAAACGTACTCAGACAACCAATTTTACTTTTGTCAAACAATTCTCCAAAGGACGATTCTCGGTTTGGAGAACAGTCTCCTGGGCTAATATTTTTTTTCATGAAAAATATAGAAATATTACCCAAATTAAACTATGAATATTCAAAAGAGGACATTTAAATCCACAAGATGTAAAAATATCAAATTGGTCTGGAGCAGGGATAACACTCAATTAGACCGATTCTAATAAAATACAAGTCTCGATTTGGGGAAAGAAGTTCATCAGTGTACTGCGCTAATATTTTTTTGAGAAAAATCTAGAAATATTACCCAAATTAAATTATAACTATTCAAAAGAGGACATTCAAATCTATATTATGTAAAAAAATCAAATTTGTCCGAAGCAGGGATACTGCTCATTTAGATTGATGAACTTCGTTCTCCAAACCGAGAATAGTCCTTACAATTATAGCATTTAAATCACTGATCTTTTTGAATTACGAAAATAGACACAAGTAATTATATAGTCTGATTCCATCGTGCACCGACAGGATATATTAATAAGTATATTGTATGGCCAGTATATTTGATAAAAACGCTGTAA